TGACGTTGCTTGAAATTGGCACTCTACCAATTTCTTACAACTCAATGGTGAAAAAACGCAATAGCTGATTATTTCCAGCAAAACCCAATATATATCAGGTGCTCACTACAAACTTCTTGACATTACGATTAATCACTCTCTAAACTGGAGAACAGGCAGATCGCTTCATGTGGTGGTGGACGGTGTATCGTCTGATACCATTGGCATCAATTCCGGCGTTCCACAAGGATCAATTTTGGTACCAACATTATTCCTTCTTCATATCAATGATCTGTTGGGAGTAACAACTTGCCCCATCCACAGCTTTGCAGATGATAGTACCCTCCATACTGCGATCTCTTCCAGAATTCCCATTTCTTCTCAGGAAACTAAGAACTCACGGCGAAGGCAGGTCAATGCTGTCAATGTAGATCTTGCTGAAATCACAGCATGGGGAACAAACAACCTAGTTGAATTCAACGCCACCAAAACTCAAACCTGCATTTTTTCTAGAAAGGCAGAACTCAGTATGCCCGATATTGTAATGTCTGGCTCCACCATCCCCACCAAGCCCACCATATCTATGCTCGGTATTTCCAGCAGCAACACTCTTTCATGGGATAATCATGTCAGATCCATCGCAAAAGCTGCTTCACAAAAACTCGGATTCTTGTTCCGTGCGAAAAGCTACTTTACACCTCAACAGCTCCTCATGATCTACAAGGCGCAGATACGGCCTGTTCTAGAATACTGTTCCCACATATGGGGTTCAGCACCAAAACATACGCTGATGCTCTTAGATTCCTTCCAGAGAAGAGCCATCCGCCTGGGGGGTGACGCCACACTCACTCACTCTTTGACATCATTGGAACACCGTAGAAAGGTCGGCGACCTTTCACTTTTCTACCGATACTTCCACGGGAAATGTTCTTCGGAAATCTCTGCTATCATCCCTTCACTAGCAATACCAGTCAGACGAACTAGACAAGCCCACCACATCCTTTCGTTATCAACCTCGAAAGATGTCGAACAGCACTTTATCAAAACTCCTTCATCTATAGAACGGCTAGGCTCTGGAATTCATTGCCTGAGGAAGTATTCCCAACAACATATAATCTCCAGAAGTTCAAAAAAAATTCCAATACCTACCTCCTGTCCCTATCCTCCCTAGGAACGCACGATGTTCTTTGAACATTATAGGGATTCCCTTTCGTGCGCTCCAAGCGATAAAAAAAACTGGCAATATCATACACAAAAACTGAACAGTGGGCTCTCCAGTATCCTATTCCTTAAAGATTGCGATCTATTGTGAGTTCTGAAATGTTGAGACAAATTTCGGATTATTTCACTCCCGCATCAGCTATGGCACCATTTTATAGGGGAACTCAAGCAATCCCATAAGTATTTTCAAATCTCAAAAGGAAGCCATTCGTCTCCTTGCTAGTGTGGGCTTCAGAGAACACTGTCGACCGTTATTTACTGAAATAAAAATAATGACAATACCTTTTGTATTTATATTTATCAAACTATCTGTGGGATTCAGTCAAACAGCGATTATACTCATTCCTCAGATATTCATGAATATGAAACGAGATCAGCTAACCAAATAGTCTTACCCCGTGACAGGTTAACAAAATCGGAATCAAATTCTACTGATCTGAAGCTTCACAATAAGTTGAGTTCAGAGTTGCGCTCCTTGAATAATAGAGATATCCAAACTGAACTGAAAAAAATTCTCATATGAAACTGTTTCAATAGTCTGTCTAAATTCCCGATGATTGTTCTCAATTTCTTTTCATCTTCGGTTTGCGGTGTTTTTGGAAAAAGGATTGTTTGTACCTATACCTTAGTATTGGTGAATGTTAGAAATGTTTCCTGTTTTTCGGCATTTACGTATCTTCAACCTTATTGTCCGCCAACCATTTCATATATTCTGCACAAGTGCACAATAAGAAAACTCGAATTAACAAAAACTTAAACAAACATTTATTTAGTACATAATTGATTAAGTAAAATTGCACATAGGATGTATGATACAAATATCTCAATAAAATAACTATAATTTCGAATTTTATACTGAACAGTAACATGATACAAGTAGGTATAACCCTAACAATAAAAACACTGGGAATCAAAAAGTAACAGCATGAAGAAAATCACATATTCCTACTGGGATCATTTTCTTGAATGGTTAATATTTTTTTTATGAATAAATTGAACTGAAACCATCAAAATGACTTTGCTGCATGTACTTATGTAAGTACAAAGAAGTTGAAATTGTAAAAGGGAGGAAAATTATTTCCACATTTCGTGCTTTGCAGTCGAAATTAAACTAGGTCCAGTTTCAGAAAAACTGGATTGTAATTCAAAATTTGTTATTTCATGACTCCAAGCTCCAAATTTATTCAATTCGAGTAAGTATATATTTGCCTAGGTTCATTCAAATGCCCTGAGAAATCTGAATTCAGACAGATTCTGTTTCGGAAAATTGCGAATTTCTTACTAGAAACTCGCAATAATTGAGCTAGTTGAATTTCCATGCCTATACCGAAAGAAGAAAAGAAATTTCCATGATTTGATATTGGTAAATGATGTATGAAAATCTTCATTTCCTTCATCTTCATTCGACATGTGAGATGATTTAGTGAAAAGGTCCTTTGAAATTCCGAATTAAAATGTGTTGCAGTAGGCTAAGAGCTAGATTTCGTGCGTGAGTTCAAAATTTGTCACCATCGATAATTCACACCGAAATAATCAATTATTCCAGCGAAGTGAAGTGGAGTTTTGAACACTGCTTCACAAAGATGTACAATGTACTTCGAATACTATAATGATATTCAGGAAAGCCTAATTAATAGAGCGCTGGTAATTATAATGTTTGTAGAATATCCTGATATAGATACCTTCCATATATAGACACATACATTCTTTCATTCTGCACTAACTGACACATTTCACTAGAACTGAACTGAATCAGTTGGCATGCAATGTACATAATGAAAGTCATTCGAAAGAACGATTCAGTTCAGTTCTAGTGAAATATTTCAGTTAGTTCAGATTGAAAGAATATTACTTATATCAGCGTCAGCGTCAGCCTTCTCAGTTTTACTGAGGAAGATGATACATTCGCTGAATTATGTTGTATTTAGGCAGGAAAATATTATGGTCGTGTACATTTGCTGAATTATGATGTATTTAGGCAAAAAATTATAATTGTGACTATTGTGAGTATATAAGTGGATTCAAAAACTTAAAAGAATAAGTTACCTCCGAGTTCATGTGGATTTCAAAATTTGTGAATCTTCTAAAATGAATGATACATTCCACTCAAACATATACTGGGTATTATGGGAACGCCCTTTCGATTCTTTATTGTATCATTCTAACAAATATCATTTCAAATATTTTATTCACATGCCTATTATGATTATTCGCGACTAAGGAGAATGAGTATTTTTCATATAAAATAGATGATTTCAAATGTTACATGAAATAAATTCTCAGTTGAATAAAAATAATTCATGCATTTTTTATAATACGCCAAAGTAGACTTACTGTGCCGAAAACCCCTCTTTTATTCAACAAATAACATTATATGGCTATTTCTAGGACTGCTGAATTGATATGATACCTACCCTACTTATCAAAAATTTGGCCTAATAGGAAGATTGTTTTGCGTTTTTACATGAAATATTTGTATCCATGTAACATTTAAATGTATCAGCCGTTAAAATATGAAAAAATGAGTAAGCCTATTATTCAATAAAATTTTTAAAGATGAATCAATACAAAAAGCTTCAAGTCATTTCCACACAATGTTTATTAAATGAACAACAATGGTGTGGTTTACATTGTGTGGAAATGACTTGGAGCTTTTTGTATTCATTTAACATTTCATTCCACTTTGAGCATGGTGGCTATTTCGTAGTTTAGATGAATAGTTGACTATTAGCTGAAGATTAAGTCAGAAGGAAACAAAAAAAGATCTTCCTATATTTTTGTTTGCAGGGTATCCCAGAATCAACGTACAATATTTCATATCAGCAAGTAACATGATCAAAAATAGAAATCCCAGCGAGCACAAACATTCCTGGGATGTTTTGGGATGTTTTGAAAATGTTGGCATGAAGATGTTATTTTGAGACGTAATATGCACTGACCAAAGAGGTCTTCGAAGGATATTGAAGTATTGTTTTTGTTCTTCTGTGGCATTTCTTTGTTTGCCTACTGAGAGGTATCCCTGGGATGTTTTGGGATGTTTTAGAAATGTAGGCATGAGGATGTTTTTTTGAGGCGTAATATGCACTTCCCAAAGAGGTCTTAAAAGGATATTGAAAGTATTGTTTTTGTTCTTTTGTGCCCTTTCTTTTCTTGCCCCACCACAACGTCTCATGCTTACGTCACAATACGATGAAGTCTGATTTGTTTTCGATTTTGTTCTTCTTGCAACTTCTTGTTCGCAATTGGCATTCGCGTTTGCAGCGTGTCACGCTTACATCACGCTGCTAACGAACAGAAAGGGATTTGGTGAAGTTTATTGTGTTAGAAGACTTATTTAGTTTGTAATTATGACCATCAGATGCAAGATGTGTTGTTCGGTGCCTCAGTGTAATCAATATATAAAAGTACGAATTCATCAATACACAGCTTCTCCGCAGTTGCAAAATTATGCATTGTGGGGAACATTTCAAAAATTGGGAAACCTATTTCCAATTATATGTCTGTGTGTAGTAAGCACTACTCAGAGACCGATTAAGAAGGTAATTTCATATCAAGAAAATATTTTTATGTTCAATCTATTTTTAATGCATTTTTTCATTCAAGGGAAATGGAATCCTAATGCAAAAGTTCATTTTGACAAAAGGCTTCAGAAAAGTACCTCAAAAATGGTTTTTTACAGCGATTTAATGTGCGCAAGACGCGTTGAAAATGTTCTGTTGTGTCCATGAAAAGGCTTTAAAAATTACTAGGGAGAAGGTAGTTTTGTGACATATCAAGGACATCTCGATAATTGCCGCCTGCGGCGGACATTGACTGTTCTATAATGGTTCTATTCATGTCTGAACAGAACATCGCAGTGGAGGTTCAATGTCACGAAATCTCGTACTTTTAACATCTCTGAGATGTTTTTGTGCTAGCTGGGAATAAACAAACTACTCAGACGTTTGCATACACGGCATTAGAGGCATATATTCCACTCTTCACCCCCTGTTTGATACGCCATAAATGAAGTTTTGGAATGAGTCCAGTCCGTTAGTAAAATGTCATCTAACAAAGAAGTAGAATCTCAAAGTCATTACCGCAATGGTTCATGAAATGGAAGGAAATGTTATAGATTACCAGAGAAAACCAACTACTCTCCTGGCTATATCTCACGCAGAAAGACGAATATGGTTGCAAGTATTTCTTTCCTAAAGGCTGAGTTGCACTTATACTGAGAGGTGTTTCCGTTGGGTCAGGTTCGCACCAGATGGCGGTCATTAATGCCATCTGGGCACATCCCTGATGAGCGCCAAAGCTCGATACCGATCTGAAGATAGTCAAACGGTCCTGAACAATTCAAGCACAACCCAGCATTAAGGAAAGAAACACATTTAACTGTATTTGTCTATATTATACTAATCGTTCCATAGATTTCGGGAGGATAAAATTCAATGTTCTGCGTGTGGCATGTAGCCAGAAAAGTAGTTGTTTTTCTCTCGTTATCTACACCATTTTCGTCCAATTCATAAACTATTGTGGTAATGACTTAGAGTTTCTATCTCTTTGTCACCATTTTATTCCACTTTGAGTATTTTGGCTTCTCCCTATAGTTGAAATTGTCATTTGCTAAGAATTTTGAAATTGCGGCCACTAATTTTGTGACATCCTATTTAATAAAGGACCATTTATCAAGAAAATGATTCACAGGTTACGATGTAGGTATATGTACCTACTAGTCAGTCTGCTACGTCATATTAGTAAACTTGAAAAAAATCTGATGTCAGATTGCCTTAAGATATACAATATACAGTCCTGCTTATATATTTAGTTATGCATATACAGTATCACAGTTGAAGTCCGCATATATATATATATATATATATATATGGGATTTTCTTGTTATTGAACAGGGTAGTCCAGGTTTTCCTGCATTAATTTCGAGAAGTTATATAGAGATAGAGTTGAGTTTATTATGCCATATCTAAGAAAATACAAAAGTGCTCCTTAACCAAACATAAAAAGGAAATGTGCATATAACTCGATGAGAAGGATAACTCTTCTTTTTCCTAGGATATGGAATTATTACAACATTAATGCCCTGTATTCAAGTTATGTTGTATTTCTGAGAACCGTTTACTGATAAGTATCCCTTTATGCAAGTATCTTCCATTGATTATTGAAGAAAATTCAGGCTACCCTGTATAGTTTCCGTGAATTCAGAGTTCATGAATAGGATTTTCTTTGACAATATTACAAAATGATGTTGGCGATTTTTGGAAAATGGGGTATTTTTTTGAAATTCCGGAAAAGTTTGATGAAAAAGTTGTGTATTTTTCGGTTTGCTATATACACACCCACTGAATTTTTTTCGGCTCATTCAAATTCCGCAGAATTCGAAAAGACCAGACTGGTGAGTTTTTTCTGTACATTGGATATATTTCAAAATGAAAACAGAAACGCTAAAAACATTTTGAAAAAATTGTTGCAACTATAACATTTTTGATCTGCCTATAGGTAGGTGCGCCTATAAAGGTCCATTATCCTAATGAGGCCCACCCTAAATTTTATATCAACTATATTGATTTATCGAATATATTACCAAGAAAATCCGATTGACTGAAAATAATTGTTGAAGTTTTTTTCCATCAAAGAAATGACACTAGATTCGTTTCAATCAGTAATAAAAAAAAATCTATATGATGCAGACTTCAACGGAGACACTGGAGAACTAGGCGGACAATGACACTTTTAAATTGAATAATACTAAATAACACGTTCCTCGTAATATTTACATACTTATAAACATAATACCTACCTACTAGATATTTTCGATATATTCTACAATATTTGCATTCAATTGTTATTAAATAAGTCCAACTACCGTTTCACTCATGTTATTTTGTATTATTTCTTTGGTTTAAAAATAGTTGAACGAATACTATCGTAGTAACAATCTGCCAACTACTCATACAACGTTTTGCTGTTCAAAAGTACAATAGATAACTAAAGCAGTGAAAATAACAGTGGCACATCATATCAGAATAGGTACGTACGGATCAAAGTCACTATGAAGGAGGATACCAATTCGAGGGAGTACTACTCGTGTTTTTACTCGAGTGGTACAAATGAAACCCAGCAGTCCCAGTGGAACCGTGGTGGTAAAACTGGGGCTGATCCACATACGAATACACCTGAGGCTTGAGCGGCAGCGGACTGTCCGGGTACTGGTGCCTCAGCACCTCCTGATAAGGAACCCCCGACTCGAAAGCCACCGCCCCATGGAGCTGCTGATGCTTATCGCGAGGAGAAATGCTAGAAGGCGGTGTCATGCTCGAGTGATAGTCCATGTAGTAGCTAGCGGGATAGTTCTGATGCTGCGAGAGCAAAAACTGGTGTTCACTGTACGAGGAACCACCCTCACTGCCCGGTGCAGTCGGCAACACTTGACCGTCATTCGGATAATAGTTGGGCGAGCTCCCAGAACGACCGCCCTGTACGTTCGCCCGAATCACACTCTCCCTATTGGCGTAGAGCTGCCGCAACAGCGCCGACGCGGGCAGCGGTCCTTGCTGCTGCAGCTGCTGATGGTGCGCCCCTATCCACTGGATGGTCGTCCTCTGTTGCTGCTTCAGCAGCGCGTCGGTGCTGAAGTCCGTCGGCTGGTGAATTGGAGACTTGCAGGCGGGCAGATGCTTCGACATCGCGTTCTCTAGGTCCTTGACCGACGTCGTCACGCTGACAGCATCGTCGAGCTTCTTCGGGCTGGTCTCGGCTATCTCCGCGACTACTCCGTTCGCCGAGTGGCAGCTAGAAGCCGGGCTGATAGCCGAGGTGCCCCGAGGAGTGGCGACTTCGTCTTCTTCGTCCGAGGAGGTGTTCTTCCGCTTCCGGCGAGCCGGAAAGCACTTGCGCTGGTCCTTGACGGCTGCCGGAGCAGCCTGGAGCTGCGCTTGCAAGTCCAGGCCTGGCTCCTTGGTTTTGGGAACTTCCGGGTCGGGAGCTGTCGCTTCTTCCATGTCTTGGTTCGGGTCCTGGGGGGCATTGGCGGGGCCTCCGCTGTTTAGGTCATCTGACCACAGAATCAGTTAGAAACTATTAATACTAGTATTGGTGGTACGTCAACGTACCTCCACGTTCGGCGTCTGGTGATCCGTTCTCTGGGTCGTTGTTCGTGGCTTCCTCTCTTTTGACGACGTGCTTGTTGTCGTCCATTTGACAGCAGTCCATCACTATGTTCTCGTATTCTCTCCCGCTGCAACAAAAGAATGGAATGATGTTTAGTGTCGGGAAGAAAGTTTGTTTTATTATTGAGATTTACAAGGAGATCCTTGTCAGGCTGCGAAAAAGAAAATGGCGCACCTATGAGTCTACATGAGGATGTGCAGGACATTTTAACGACCATCAAGCGAACATTGAAATTGGTTGAGGCAATTGCGCAGTATGAATTAACGTCAGCGCTGCATGTCTTTGATCTATGTTTTGGTGTCTTGTTAGAACGAAAGTATGTCTATACTAATTGAAGATTTCATCACATGTGGCTCCTGTGTGATCTCATTGGTAGAGTTTTTGATTGTCGACCGGCTTGACCGACTGGTCGTTAGTGTCACGTGACTAATCACAATTACAAATACGTATGGTTTCGACCGGTCGCTTGTATACGAGAACTTTAAAAAACCGTAAACTTCACTGATCAATTGATAATATATACCGAAAATAACACATTACCTGGCATCTTGAATACCAGATATTTTAGGAATCATACATACGAATCATTGAATTCCTCGAAACAGATTTTGTTGAATGAAATGATAATTTTGAACTGTATATATCAGAAATAATACACTCAAGTGAATCATCCAGTGATGAAATGCTATTACCATTTGAAGTTCGGTCAATGTGGTTATCAGTCAAGAACCCTGTGGTCGAAGTGTGGTTTAAGTGGTCGCGACCGCCATCTTTCCATTATTTATGTTCAGTGTATTGTGCATTATGTGTACTATATTGCTAGTGTTTTGTTGAATTATCATCGATTTTCAGAAGTTTGTTTGTATGCCCGTAATGCGCACACTCGTCAACCAACTTGTCAAAACCGTTCACTTGCGTAAAACTAGGAAATAACAATGTCCTTTCATTTGTTGTTTAAAAGTCAGTGGCGGCGGATTGCTGCTCTGACGTTGAGAAGAAAAATCATTGGATTTTCGTTGTTGTCTTGACACTCAGCGATATCATGACACGTATATCAAATACGAAAGGAACCAAAACAGTTCATGAAGAATGTTAGAGTTAGTAGTGATATGAAAGAATCGAATAAATCTTCAGAAGATTTGAACATTGCATAAAAACGAGTTCGATTCAAGTGGTGAGGGGAGAACTTTCATGCATTGTGTGTGTTAATGTGATATTTTGAAACTTATTCGTATTTTTCTTGATATAGAAATATTAGCTGCGGCATGACCAAAGGTGAACGTTGTCTCATTGTTTTTGGGTCTATTTATCTCATACTATCATAACAAACCACATTCGATTTAAAATACATTTATAGTATCCAGATAATGATTCCTACGAGGAAACGACTGACTTAATGTGGTAAAGCGAGTGGAGACATCAAAGTTCAAGCAATATCGAACAGGTTCGAACTGGCCATCAGAATTTCGATATTTATTATCGGACCTTATTTCGATATTATCCTTCAGGGGCCCACGACTTGTGAGTACGGGAATGGAAATCCCGAGGTACCCTAGCCGGTTACTAATTGATCTTCAACCTGTCTTTGGTGGTATCCTCTTTACTCTTCAGTTTTTCTATCTTTTGTATCGGCCTCTCTTGGTCTATTCTTCTTTTTTTTCCTTCTTCCCAGAAGTCCAACCTCACCATAGTGCGGGGAGGACAAGCTGCGGCTGCTCGGCGGATTGAGCATTTCGGGAACATCTTTGCTCTTATAACTCAGAGGGGAAAGTTTTGCGGACAGCTGATGAGTGCAAGAATAGGGAAATTTGTGAGCATCTGCCAATGTGGCCGCGGATTGATAACGTGGCTCTGGCAACCCAATCCAAGTTGTGGGATTCCGTGACGAGGGATGAATGGCACCGAGGTTACATGGTGTCGATAACGGGACCTCTGAGAAACAGGGCGACATCTCAGAGTAAACAGCCTAAGCCCTGTGTAGGGGGCACCACAGGGCTGGCCAACCCCTTCCTCCATTACTCGTAAGAGAAGGAGAACTTGGCATTCTTCATGGACAAGACCAGGGCTTGAAAGAGTAATCTTCAGGAACCTGAATGAAAACGGTCTTCCAAACGAACCTCTGGTACTGTGAGCAGCAGTGCTCACAGTTACTGTGGCGGCGTTTGAAGTGGCCCTTATATAGGAATCATGGGACGTATACGGTAAAATCAAAATCGGCATACAATGGTACAATGGGCCAACATGCCTTGGTTTCATTGGAGACTTCGGTCAGAAGAGTCTTGATAGGAGGTGGAGTATTTAGTGGGTACCTACACCTACATGTAGGGATTCTCACACTACCATGAAGGGAATGGTCCTCCGTGGTCTCCATTGAGGATTTTGACTACTTCCGAATGAAAAAAAAAACTCGATATTACAAGAATGATACATGAATACAAAAAAAGCAATAGTTTAATTATTTCCTCTCAAAAAGTAGACAATTCGCATAGGAATACACAACTGCTCTCAATCTAAAAATTCCTTCTTGGAATCCCGAAAAATGCAACCCTCAGCGTCAAGAAGATAGAGACCACCAGCTTGGCTATATAGAGAATCAAATTTCTATACCAGGGTCACAGAGGGTATCGGACCACCCCTATAACTTCTGCATTCGTAAACGCATCTTTCTGAAATTTGGTACACCTATAATTATATATTTCGGATTTGGTCACATTTCAATCCGATATGGCAGACTTCTGGTTTTTCTAGAGATGACAGCAACTTTGTTTTTTCAAATGGATCACCCTGTATATTCTTACATATCCTGATTCCGAAAAAATTGTGATTGAAATCGTTTTTTTTTTTCATTTTAACTCGTGGATAATTGAAATGTGGTCAAGGCTATTCATGTCTCTCTTTTCCTATGCAGTTCGAATAATTCTTCAAGCAAGCTGTGGAAAACAACATTTCTGAATCTTGTCATAAAGATTGCACTTGTTTTGACCTGTTGAACTTAAATATGTGAAAATATACAGGGTGTTCCATTTTACCAAACAAAGTAGCTGGGAAAAACCGGAAGTGCGCCATATTGGATTGTAATGTCATTATATCCGAAATTATTGCTCACTTAACTGTACCAAATTTCAGAAATATCTGTTTTGCGAATGCAGAAGTTACAGGGGTGGTCGATACCATATGTGTCACCCGGCAGAGTCAATGTATTGCAGCTTCCTTCAATTATCTCGAGACCGTTTTGGATCGACACATCTTCGATCCCAACGACAGTTGGAATATCGACGATTGTTACCTATGGCTGAGTATTGTTCGTAATTGATATCGACAAGGCTCTGTGATTTTCGCGAATATTGGTGGACTTGCCAATGGACCCCGTGACTACTCAGCACGGTAATGAGTACATCACCAACCTACAAACACAACCGAAAAACTCTGAAAGTGACCTGATGGACTGGTTGTTAGCCAGCTCTCTTAAGCGGACCACATCACTCATTACACACATTGGGGGCTTGCAAGGAGGTCCCATGACGGAGTAGTTAATGACATACAAATGTCCTCCACTCTCACCAGTACCAGTACAGTTTTGATTCGCATTTGCAAAGACTCAAGATTTTTGCAAATACCACGGAATTGTTGTCCTGCTATATTTCCCGCTCCATTGTTTCCTATGACTGAGTATTGTTCGGAATTGATATCGACAAGGTTCTGTGACTCACGGTACTGAGTAAATTACCAGCCCACAACCGAAAAACTCTGACAGTGACCTGATGGACTGTTTGCTGTTGCTGACGTACAAGCGTCCCCCACTCTTACCAGTACCAGTTCAACTTTTATTCGCATTTGCCAAGTCTCAAGATCTTTGCAAAGACCACGGAATTATTGTCCTGCCATCTTTTCCGCTCCATTGTTCCCTATGGCTGAGTATTGTTCGGAATTGATATCGACAAGGTTCTGTGACTTACGGTACTGAGTACATTACCAGCCTACAAACACAACCGAAAACTCTGAAAGTGAGCTGATGGACTGATTGTTAGCTAGCTCTTTCAAGCGGACCACATCACTCATTACACACATCTGGGGCTTGCAAAAAGATCCCATGACGGACTAGTTGCTGCCGTGCAAATGTCCTCCACTCTCACCAGTACCAGTACAATTCTGATTCGCAATTGCAAAGACTCAATATCTTTGCCAAGACCACAGAATTGTTGTCCTGTTATCTTTCCTGCTCCATTGTTCCCTATGGCTGAGTATTGTTCGGAATTGATATCGACAAGGTTCTATGACTTACGGTACTGAGTACATTACCAGCCTATAAACACAATCGGAAAACTCTGAAAGTGATCTGATGGACTGATTGTTAGCCAGCTCTCTCAAGCGGACCACATCACCCATGACGGACTAGTTGCTGACGTGCAAACGTCCCCCACTCTCACCAGTACCAGTACCATTTTGATTCGCATTCGCCAAGACTCAAGATCTATGCAAAGATCACGAAATTGTTGTCCTGCTGATTTTCCCGCTCCATTGTCCCCTATGGCTGAGTATTGTTTGGAATTGATATCGACAAGGTTCTGTGACTTAAGCTAGTGAGTACATTATCAGCCTACAAACACAACCGAAAAACTCTGAAAGTGAGCTAATGGACTGGTTGTTAGCCAGCTCTCTCAAGCGGACCACATCACTCATTACACACATTTGGGGCTTGCAAAAAGGTCCCATGATGGACTAGTTGCTGACGTGCAAACGTCCCCCACTCTCACCAGTACCAGTACAATTTTGATTCGCATTTGCAAAGACTCAAGATCTTTGCAGATACCAAAGACCACGGAATTGTTGTCCTGCTGTCTTTGTCGCTCCATTGTTTCCTATGGCTGAGTGTTGTTCGGAATTGATATTGACAGGGCTCTGTGATTTTCGCGAATATTGTATGGTGGACGTGCCGATGGTCCCCGTGACCACTCAGCCGGTTGCGAATGGCTGCACCTTAAATGAATGTTCTACGTGTCTAAGACGACGCTATGGCATAATGGCGGCGCTCGGCGTTGGCACGAGCGTCAAACGTGAGCGGTTTGG